CTCTAGGAAAAAGTATAAAAGTTCATTATGCAAAGAAGCAATCGTACAGCCTGCCTGCCTACAAATTTATTCGTGCTAATTACAATTGACAATCGTAATTCCGCGGGACATTTGGGATTGCTCAGAAAAATTTTCATTACGGAACAAACAGGATTCAAATCTTGAAAAAGTTTCTTCCACAAGGCTTTAGTACTAAGCTATCACACTTTCACATTTTTCTTGCCTATTCATATTGGTATATTTATTTCGTTAAAATCTTCTTTGGTTCGGTTCAGGCGATTCAATACTTTATTCAAATTATGTTCTTCTACTACTATAACAATCTTTTTTTTCCTCCCTATATAACAATAAATATGATGAATGATGAATAACGACAGCAACAACGATGAAATTCCATTCTTTTTTTTCCACATACATATATATTAACACATTAGAGAGCGAGAGAGAGATACAAGTAAAACACAAGGAGATGAATATGTATGTTCTACTCCAGCCTAGACCATTTTATATAATAAAGATGACGACCAACATCTTTTAAAAAATGCCCTTAATTTAGAATAGAAGAAAAGACTGAGAATATGTTGAAATTGTCACGGCCAGATAGGAAAGTAGAAGACAAAGAGGGAGAGAGATAGAAGAGAAGAAAAGAAAAGGAAAGATTTATCGACTAATGTATGTACAGTGAATAAAGTATATCCAAATGATGATGTATACACACAAATTGAAGAAAAGAATAAGAAAAAAAAAAAAAGATGTATGTTAGAGTGCTCTCTAACACAGTTTTAGGACGAAAATTCGAAAAAAGATCTCGAAAATTTGTAAATTTTTTTTGGAAAAATCAGGGGCTTCTAATACGTCAAACATGTTGCTCATCTCAGAGGGGGCTTCTAATAAGGGGGGCTTCTAATATGGGAGGGGCTTCTATTATGGGGGGGGGGGGGGGGGGGAGTTTAATAAAACTTTCTCTAACCGATTGATTTTCATTAAAAAATTAAAGCAAGTGAAGCAATTCTTTTATTGAACAAAACTATTACAATAAATTTTGTTTTTATTCATTAATCAAAACCATGCAATAAGTCCATAGCCACCCTTTTCAACAGCAATTCTAGGTTTTTCATTCAATGGTAAAGCAAGAATATCATTCCGCAATTGTGTGATGAATATAGCCTGCATAGTATGTGCCGATTCAAAATTTTCACGATTTCCGTAATTTTTACGCCGAAAACAAAAGCAAAAGTCAGACATATTTGATATTGTTTCTACGATGATATGGCGACTTATATCATTTGGTGGAACATTCATATCATATAAAAGTATGCGTAAAGAGTTCAAAAATGGTAAAGTAGAGAGAATCGGCAAATCATTCCAATCATTTCTTGCCAAATGAATATATTCTTGATTAAGAGTAATTTGAATTGATCGAATATTTCTTGAAAAACAACACTTATTCAATAAGTCAAGACTATCTGTAATAATGAGATGATCAAAAATTGGTAAATTTACAGATAACTCTCTATCACATCGTGATAAGTGCAGTTCAACTACTTTGTTCGAAGACATTATGTGAGGAAAAGAAGTAGCCAATGACGGAAAATTATTTGATATACTGAATTTTCGAACATGTGATGAACCAACTCTATTAACTGGAGAAGTCGATGTAAAAACTTCCAATTCATTAATATATCCATCTGGAACACATAATGGAAAAAATTCATTAAAAGCCCATGGCAAAGTATAGAATATATGTTGTCGATTTCTAGGTTTGTTTAACTAAAACATTAATTACATTCATTGAAAGAATATTTACTTATCAAAACAACTTCCAAATTTACAAAGTAAATACTTACATAAATTTCATCACGATTATGCATCATTGAATCAACAGGCCAACATTCAGAAATAAATGTTACACTAGCTATTTGACGAGGATGTGATAAACTACCACGTGGCACATATTCATCAAGTTCAGAATGTTGTCGATCATCACTAATCATAAAAACATAATGAAGATCAATATGACGATCGTCAACAAAGAGATTTGAATGAGTCATCTGAACCAGATCATTGGCATCGATAAAAACAGAAAAATTTATTCGTCGTAAAACAGGCATAATATCAGAATTTGTCAATACATTAACAAATTCCCATTCCTCATTTGAATAGCATTTAAATGATTTAATAAAAGTAAATGTATGTAAAGATTCCATTCGATGTAAAAGGCCTTTATTACGTAAACAAAAACCAAAATTATCACAAAAATCCCTAATTTTTATATGTAGTTGCTTTAAAGTATATGATAACGGTTTCGTTGAAAATATATCAATCAAAAAATGCGTCCCACCCAATGAAATTTTTAGATAGGTTAAGGGTGCTTTTATCACTTTGAAAGGCCACTTGTATAAAACAAAAGATGTTTCCATTCCTAAATCAAGTGATTGAAGATTAGGCAAACAACAAAGTGTTCTTTCGAGAAATTCGCACATGTTCCATGATGGATAAGCCATACTTTTTGTTATACCACCCTACATAAAATAAATCGTAAAATACTTTTAATATTAATTGATAATTGAAAAATTCTCCTTCTTTAGTCAAACATCTTCATAAAAATTTTGTGTCGAAACAAAATCCTATAAAAGAATGAGCTTGTGTAATATTTATTCGGATAAAAATATACTTCTCATAAATGGATACTATTAAACAAGTAAATACACGAGAAAGATTTACTTTTCATTTTGAAACTTCTACATTGACTCATATTGCAGATACGTGTTACTATATCGTTTAAATGTTATTCGAGTTGATTCTAACTGATTGATTTTAATGAAAACAAAAAATCTTAAATAATTGTGTTTTTTCTAAGGCATGCTTCGCTACAAAACATTAGTGCAGTTCGAAGAGTGAAATTCTAAAAATTGGTGAGAGCAGCATTTCCTACTGTACTATTCTGTGTAGCAACTGACCATCAATGCTTTTTATTTTTTCTTAAAGTTCTCTTGATTTTCCTGCACTTACTGTATAAAAGTATCGGCTTGATTCAACTGTAAGATGAGTCAATGTTTTTGAATATTTTTTTGCCAATTTGAAAACCTCCCTAAAATTGCGTACACCTTGTAATCGTAATGCTGTCAAATGTGTTAAATGAGGCCATCTTTTTAGTTGAAGAGGTGACGTGCAACGATCAATGACAAGTGATTGTATTTCATTTAATCGAAGTGTTGAAAAAATTGTTTCGAATTGTTTTTTACCAGTTGATGATAAATTAACATGACGATAAAAACCTCGCTCTGTTAACAATGTTGTCAGACGAGAATTGAGTTTAGAAAATGACCATAAAGCATCAGCACAAGATAGATAAGAAAATATTTCGAGTAATATTAAATCAGGCAGTTGGTCAAAGAGACTGATCATTGCTATAAATTGAATGAAGATGAGAAATGTCATTTCTTTTTTATGACTGCCCTTATATATTATGTTGCAGACGGTCATTTTTTTTTCCTCTTCATTATGTTGCGGTCACGGACAACAGCTGTTTGACGTAATAATTATTCGTTATATAGAGAAAGAGTACGTGACCGAATTGTCCGTCTATATCAATTTAATACATGAACAGTCAATTCTGCAATACGTATGACGCTTGAACAGTTAAAGAACAACACAACTATCTTTACAAATACAACTTTTGTGACTAAGAGAAAATATAGATGAAAATTCTTCTAATCATTGATTGCACATAAATCGTCAAAAGTTGTTAGACTATTTTTTGTAGTGTAACACAAAATGATTAATGCACGTTTCTGCCATTAAAAATAAAAGTAGAACGATATGGTGTCGAATGCTGCGTTGATATATGAATAATTTTATCGCTTTTTATTTCACATACTATTGTTTATTTAAGAGTGGAATTCTCGAACTGGTCCGTTGCATTTCAAACCATATATTTTTATAGTTGAGGCGTACCCAGAGTTAATTTAGCAACATCTCCTTTGAATAGGCGTGCTCCCACTTGAAAAATTTGAACTCCTATCAGCGTATGTGCCAACTGACTTACAGTTGACTTAAACGAAGCAAGTTCCCATGACATTTTTTCCGATACGGCGTTAGTACGTAAACAACTTAGCTGATTATGAGTAACAGAGTGGTAGCGATCAATCCTTTGATTTTCGTGCAGTATATTTTAACTCTCACTGGTGAATTTTGATTGAATGAGAGTATGGGCTAAGAATGTGACTGTTCAAACTCATCACCTGTGAGATGTGAAATAAAGAATTGGTAAGCAGTTACAGATACTATTGAAGTGAGCTGATGGTTAGCCGTAGCTCCTTCTATTCACGTAAGTTGGTGATCGGCTCCTTTCAGTAGAAATTGAATTTGATGTGTCAGTTGCCGCTCACGAAACTGATACTAGAACTGCCACAACCGTAGTTATGAAGATAAAAATAAAGAGAAAGAAAGTGGTACATATATGTACTCTTGCTGTGAAAAGGTTACCCAAGCAGTCAGAAATGACAAAATAACACGTTTTAACGGACACTTTTCTTTTTTTTTTGAACGCATTGTACATTTCGACAAATGTCCGAATTTTTGCGTTTTAACAGTTGATATAATTTTCACTTTAACATAGTTAAATCGGGCGGAAAGAAAAACATTTAAACGCGTTACCAAAACAACTGCATCAAAACGCAAAAATTCGGACATTTGTTGAAGTGTACAACGCGTTCGAAGGAAATATCTTAACGAGTACGCCACCGCGAAATTAACTAATATAATATATAAGCTGCCCTGCACATCCAGCGTCCGATACCAAGATATTCGACTTTTAAGACATGCTGAAGGTATGTACAATGTTCACAATTTAAAATTTAACTAAGTTTTTTGTCGTGTTCCTTAGATATAGTTTGTAGAATTACATAAGACAAAATGTGTCAAGTTTTAGAAAAGCTTTACGAAAGTTAGAATTTTCGTCCTATTTTCCGTTATATTTGAAAATATAGCATCTTTGACTTTTTCGTAAAGTTATTTTTTAAAACATGAAAGAGTTTTCCTTATGCAATTCGATGAACTATATCTAAGAAACACGACAAAAAAACCTACTTAAATTTTAAATTGTGAACACTGTACATACATTCAACATATCTTAACACATTCGACCCGATGGGTCCCACCGGTGGGACCCGCCCTATCGTAAGAAAATATTTCCTGAAAAAAAACATTTTCTTCTCTTTTTCTCTTGAGTAAAAGGATACATGAAATGCGTCAACTAATCTGCTACGCTATTTTCTGAATTATTTATTACATAGCGTAATGCTTTTCATTAAAACAATCAAGGCAAAAAAATTTGTCACAATCAGAACAGAAAGTTTTTATTTTTTTTGTTGTTGCATTACTTGCTTCCTTTGACTGTTGTTGTCTAGTTTTCTCATAGCAGCCAGCACAACGTCGTCGGACATCGCGAGCAGACGTTTCTATTTTCTGAAGCTTGTGATCGGTTAGTTTGCGTTTTGAAGAACTTGCTGATTGTTGTCTTGGACCAGGTTTCAGTTTCTCGATTGACGTGCCAAGCAGTAAAGATCGGACAAGACTTTCACGAAATTGCAAGATGGTCACTTTGCTTTCACTGTAGTTTTCCTTGTATATCAAATAGCTATTTACTAGTGCCGTCCCAAAAATTAATTTAAATGCTACCTTTCGGTACCATTTTACTGATTTCCTGAGAGGCGTGTAATATGTTGATAGTTGATCAGATAAATCAGTACCTTGTCTTCCTTTATTATAATCTAATATAACTTGAGGCTTCCTGATCGACTCATTTTGAATATTTAATTTTCTACTGTCTACTACACTTGCTGAATGTGATGGTCTTGTAGATATCATCAAGACATCGTTTTTGTCTTTCCACCTTATTAATTTAATACCATCTTTGTTTTGAAGTCCATAAACTTCTCCACGAATAAGATTTTCTTCAAGGATTCTACCTCCTGATCCAACACGATTCTTTCGTAATGTTCCAATGAGATACATATCATGTTCTAACAAATATTTTGCAAGAGAAATACTAGTAAAGAAATTGTCAGCTACTACAGTTCGATAACATCCATCAAGACCATCTAATAGTTTCATTACTACTGTTTGAGCATGTCCGACACCTGCTGTCGAATCTTGCTTACCAGTATAAATTACATAATTCCAAACATATCCATTGGTGGCCACTAATCTGTATATCTTTACGCCATACTTGTGTGCTTTTCCAGGTATGTATTGTTTGAATAAAAGTCTGCCTCGCCATGGTATCATACTTTCATCAATACTGATAATTGAGCCAGGCATATATACTGATGAAAATCTCTCTTTTAGTAAATCTAAGAGTGGTTTCAACTTGAACAATCTGTCTTGGTTCGAATTCTTGTTGTTGTTATCCGAAAAATGCCAAAATTTGAGGAGTAATTCAAATCTTTCTCTTGGCATGGTATTTCGAATGATCTGTGATCCATATAATTGACTAGAGCTCCAATAGTACTTCAGCTTCGGCATCTGCACTAATCCCATTTCAATGATTATTCCAAAGAATTTGAACATCTCTGTATTAGTGGTTGGTTTCCATTGTTGAAACATTGATCGTCTACTGGTCGCATGACTTTGCAAGTATTGTTGTGCGTATCGATTAGTTTCACGAACCACAAGGTCAATAATTTCGTCCGTAATGAAATTTGCCGATAGCAGTCGATAGGATTGATTGTGTTATCTTCTGAAGTAGAAGTTACATCCTCAATAAGCCCATGATCTTCCAAGAATTCTGCATCAGATTGATTCTGGTTCTATTTCATTCCAGGTATATGAATTCATATTATCGTCATTGTCATCGTCAGTAACTTCTTCGTCAGAATTGTCAAAATCAAGGTGCATTGTATCAAGCTCATCATTCAGTGAACTCACTTCACTGAATGAGCTAGCACTACTTTCTGTATCGATTTTTTCGAACGACATGTGAAGTGCTCCAAAAATTCGGTTGCATTTATATGCAAAACGATATAGAGAAAAGAATAAGGGAGAAAATACTGGAAATATCTTTCTTTTTCTCAGACATGGTTCGTACAATATACAAGAGAACGAAAAACTAACTTGAGTGATTCATCATTTGGTCAGTAAAAAATGACTCATTGTGTAGTAGCATAAACAAGAGAACGGCAAATAACCAGTAGAATATAGTCAAATGGTCATTAAGTGCATTTATTAGAAGATGATTGCTCACGAAAATGAACAATCTGAAAAAAATTTTACAAAAACTGAATCGGGTCGAATGTGTTAATGTAATTAAAATTTATTTTGATATATTACGTTTACATAAGCAACAAATACAACAAAATCAAAATACATATTCATCATTACCTAGTATTGTTGTTGTTGGTCTTTTACTTGATTATTTAACAAGATATTACCATCATAAAAAATCATTAACAACAAATAGAGATGAACAAATTGGTTCAACATTAGAAACATCATCATCATCACCATCATCATTATCATCAACAGTAACAACATCGACAAGTAGCTTTTTAAATACAGGTGGACGAACTACACGTGAACGTTTATTTTTTAGTGAAGCAACATGATATAGAACATTTACACTTTGGTCACATGCAGCTTATCGATGGCTTTCACCAGTATGTTAAATTCTTATTTGAGATTTTGTATAAGAATCAAGTAAAATGAGAGTTTCTTAGAATTTTTAGCAATTGAAAGTAGATGTAAATCACCTTTCGTGTGTCGCTAAGAAGCACGAAATGACTGATGGTTTTCTAGGAATGGAATCGTATACTAACCAATCGACTGAGATTTTCAAGTCATAGTTGAATCATGAAGGGAATGAGTCTTGTTTTAAGTCAAGACTATTTTGGTGTCCAGTTTTCAAGCTTAGCAATAGAGATGTTAATATAAACGTTTGAGATACATTTTTTTATATGACTAACAGTAGTGTTTTAGTTTCGATCCAATTTGAAAAGTTTATGTATATAATCATTATTCTAACCTGTTCAATTTATCTAAACTACTGATCTATGCAAGCAGGTCTAGGAAGATAAAGCTTCGAAATTTTCTTCACATTCATATTTGTATCAGTTTCGTTGTAATTCCACAAAACTCATTACTTTACATATAATATTTTTTAAAAATTTATTAGAAATAAATATTTTTAATTTTATAAAAAGCAGATTATTATATCGAGATAGAACTGTTTAGACTCGGTCTGTCACCTACGTGCCGAAATAGTCATAAAAGAACTTTGAGTACAAGTAACACATAAGATTATTTCTCTCGAAACAAAAACTCAGACTAAATTTGAGCTACTCAAGCACATTAAATGTTTATCTCTATTTCAAAATAGGAAAGTATGGCTAAAGCTGATTTTTATTATTCACCATTAAAAGATAATGATGATCGTGCATTATGTTTTGCTTGTACTGTAACACTTGTTTGTTGGGAACCATCTGATTCTCCATGGACAGAACATGGACGTCATTCTCCTCATTGTCCATTTATAAAAGGTGATTTTACTGAAAATGTTCCATTACATACAACGTGTTCAATTCAACCTAGAAAAAAAATTTTTTCAAATCAACAACAACAAAAATGGTTAATTAAATCTAATGAAATAATATTAAATGAACATATATTATTATTTATAAATTCTGATTGGATAATACGTTCAGTTGATACAACAAATGTTATACATATAAAAACAATAATGTCATTAAAAAATCTTATTGAACAATTAACAACAGAATAGAATTCTGAAGAAAATTCTTCTTTAGATAATAATAATGAAACAATATTTATACAACATTTTGATCATTTAACATCAAAACGTTATTTTAATTTAAAATTAAATCCACTTGCATTAACAATATATCCATTAACAATAACAAATGATAATGAAAATTATATTATTTTTTGTTTTTTACAATTAATTGAAACAAATAAATGTATATTAATAACAACAACAACGACATTAAATCAATATGAAAATTTAAATCCATCACGTACATCAACAGTAACAAATAATACACAAAATGATGAATCAATTGAAACAACAACAATAATAAATGAACAAATTAAAATAAATAATAAATATGATTATTGAATTGAATCTTCAAATTTTAAATATATATCTAAACAAGCTTTTTTATATCAATTAACTAAAACAAAAATGATTTTATTAATAAACACAACTGATTGTATACATAGCTATTCTATTGAATATAGATCAAATAACATTAACATTAATAAATACTTTTTTATCATTCTATTATCAGTCATTAACAAATTAGATTAATATTGATTCAATAAATCCAATTCTATTCGATGATGATAATCATGATGGTTTAATAAATAATGATCAACAATCAATAATAAGTGATAAGAGATGAAAATTTAGAAATTGAAGGTAATGATAATAATTATTTTAATGATCAATATCAAAACAAAGAACAATATACAAATAACAATATTAAAACGAAAATGTTTTTTAATTTGTTTGAAATCTGGACATTTATTATTTTATGATGTTTATCGTACATTATCTTTAGATAATAATCAAAAAAATAATAATATTCCTATTCTAGCAGATAGACAATTAATTGGAAATATTGAAAAATGTCTTCATCTTAGACGGTACAGATACAATTTATGCATCGATTACTGATGATGGTGTTAAAAAGGTTTCGAAAAAATTTAATTCATTTATTTACATAAAACAAAAATTATTTAATATTGATTTTGACATATAGCAAGTCTAAATATGTGCATAGGACTTAAATATATTTTGGTGAAAAAAAGAAAAGAAAATAATATTCAATTACTATATTATCTAGAGAAATCTTTTTCATTTAAACGAAGACAATGACAACTCATGTGCGATTTTTCTAATTCAACTAATCGAACATAAACCTTTCGATTATGATCACTCCTAGTTGTGTTCTAATCACATTCTAACTTCGATACGAATAACGATACATTATTTTTCGGAAAAACAATCTTTATTTATAGAGAAAAATATTTCTCTTGAAAATGTGATAATTATTTTTTTTTTTTTTCTCAATAAATATCCAATTCTACAACTGATGATTAGAAAGTTCCGTGCAGATCTGTAGTTGTGTGCTCCATGGTGACCATAACTTCATTCTTTTCTACTTTATCGGGAAAATATTCATATAAAAATTACTGTAAATTTGTAGAATCTACGGATAAATAAGCTAGAGAATCCATACTCTTTCTAAGATATTCTAAAGACACATTGGTCCACATGATGCACATTATTCTGAATAGAGCTTCTTTATCCAACATTTTCGAATCGAAACTCAATTGAGACCAAACTGATGGACTTTAGTCCTAGACTTGTGAGCAATTAATCAGTTTGAAGACTTTTCTCGTTAGATCTATTTATGATAAGAAAATAATACACCATCAAAAGCCTAGTAGATTTGAGAAGAAGAATAAATCTAAAACACTAAACATGAAAAACTATTAAATAAATTAACTTACATCCGAGAATAATCATAAATATTAAAATAAAAAAATTTATCTATTACTTTTATTTTTTTTTAGTTCAATATTCGTGATCTATTTCCATCTTATTTTACTCATATACAATCCGATGAAAGAATGAATACATCTTCTATACATTCTTATCAATTAAAATCTCCTAGTGATGAACTAAATTCAAATTCCTATTCAATATCAACACTTCGTTCACTTTTATCATTTACATCATTTTATTCATCACCAGTAACATATTTTTTTGCTCATGTTAATTCATCCTATTGGATTGATAGACTTGATACAACAAAAACAAATACTGATCCTCATACATGGCGTTTACAACAACCTCAAATACATAAACAACAACAACAACAACAATTAAATAATCAACAAATAATACCATCAATAGATATATTTGATTTACAAACAGCAACACCATCTATATTACATACAATTCAATTTCGTTATACATTACAATCGACAATATTTATATAAAAAAAATGTTATTCGTTACATTATATCGTTATTCAAATGAACAAAATGATGTTGATCAAAACAATTGAATTTAATCAATTAAATTCTCAAATAAATTTTTCAAATAATGATATACTTGATGGTCCATATTCATTAATTGATTATTTAGAATCACCTATAGATGATCAAGGTCTTATACAATTATGTTCATATGATTTATTAACATATAAATCAAAACATTTTCGTCTTGTACTTGAATAAAAATATTCATCATTATCAAATCAAACAATAATACAACAAAATTTATTTCCTATTGAAACTATATCAATAATATTACGTTCAACAAAACATCAAATACGTTTATTACGTTTATATGATTATTCAACAATAAATTGTTTAACAACAAATTAATATAAAAAAAAAATTTTATTTTCATTAAATTTACTAATTGAAATTATTTATACAACAAATAATAATAAAATAATCAATTAAATTAAATTTCTATTATTAAATGAAACATTTTTAAAACATAGATTTATAAATGCATCAAGAACAATAGCTAAACCTATGTCAACATTAATATTAATGATTATTATAAATGATAATCATATTGAAAAATTTATTGAAAATTTTTTTAATTTATTTCAAATCAATATGAAATATTTACTTCGATTTAAATCATCACCACCATTAACAATCGTTTTTTATTATTATTGGACAATCGACTAATCAATATCAATATCAACATTGGTACAAAACTTTTACAATGGCTATTACAATTAGTAGATATTATTCAACAAAACTGATATTCTACAAAGACAATTATTAAGAAATAAGTTAATATATTTACATATTAATATTTATGAAAAATTTTACTAGAGAACGTTTCTAACTAAGACAGAACTCTTGCCTTTTTTTAATGAGAAGGTTAGATTAGACGTTCGGATGTAATTTTAAATAAAGCTAGTCAATAAAGAAAACACACAGAATACAAATTCCACCAGTATTTATGAGCCAACCCTTGAGATAGCGTTGGAAGAAGTTTTATTAGTAAAATATTTTCTTCTCGATTAATTCGAATATGAATAGAAGACACTCTGCAATCGTTTACACCTGGAACCCAAAAATCATAAGAGATGCCGATAGTGGCGCGAACAAACATATGACATTCCATCAGTTTGACAGATTTTTCTAGTGCATCGAAAATCGTATATACACGCGTCAAACTTTTTTTCACTGCCGTCAGCAACAATTAGTAACATTTTCGGACTCGGACTCGGGTTCGATGGACTAAAATTTGTTGTATTCTCACCCGACTGGTAAAATTTTTTGGACTTGAACTCGGACCCGATGAACTCTATATACCACATGGAATTGTAATTATTCTTCTAGTTTTTTTTTATTTCTTAAGATTTCGATTTTATGCTGATCCATTTTATGCTCATTTATTTGATGTTGATCGTTTCAACATTAATTTAATGTACTCTTCGTCAACCTAATTTAAATTCATCATCAACATCAACATCATCAACATTCAACAAATACTTCTCAAACATCACGTCCAATTGGTATAAATGATACTTGTTATCATCCACGTATTTATTCACGTTATGGTACAACTGGTTTAACAATAAAACCATCGTCATCGACGATAGATTATATTCATCAACAAATATTCTCAATGCATTATCAAAACTTTTACCAAATTTACTTTCATCATCAAATCTTTATTTAAAACCAATACCAGGTCTATTTGAAATAACACCATTAAATTATACAATGCATTCATCAACTGATCGGACACCTCTTGAATCTGTTCATATGACACATTTATTAACATAACGTACGTATGAAGCAACAAATGCACTACCACCTAATGTTACACTAACAACAAGTTGACATCATCTTTATAATCCAACAACATCAAATTCTATACTACCACCATCCACCATCAATATCAACATTTAATACAACAAATACATTTCAATTTTCATTTCCAATACCAAATATAAATACATATAATGATACACTTTATATTTGACCAACAAGAATAAATTCAAGAGGAACAACAAATGAAAGAACATCAACAATTGTTTCATCATTTCCAATATCAACAACAACAATTGATAATAAAATAAATAATAATTTAATTTAAACATCACCATGGTTACTACATTCAGCATCAAAATTTAAAGATAAACAAAGTTTAGAAAAAGAAAAATAAAAATTAATTGCAAAATAAAATAAAGCAGCTACAACACAAACATCAATATTAAAAAAAATTAAAATTTATTTCCTGATATCTAATACATAGATAAATATAAAGATTAACAATAGAACAATCAACAAGACATTATCAAAAAATCGTAACATTAACAAATAATTAATATGATATTGTTTATGAAAATCTTCAACAACAATAGATAAGAACTATTTATTATATATTACACGAGAAATATTAAATTATATTCAAGATCGAAAGATCGAGAGAGAATATTTACCATAGATATCAATTTATTATTTATAATTTATCACCTCTTAGGTAGAACTTTATTTTCTTCGAGATTTTGGATAATAACCTTACATTAACGTTATATATTAATCCGATCATCTCATCAATTACCATCACTAACTTTAGATTTTTGGCTATATGGTCAACATATTGATTGTCAACCGTTTATTTTATTCAACAGATTTATAAAATCAACCATTTTGTTGTTAGATTATTTCGAAGCATTTATGTATAGGACGTTATATACCTATAACGATAAAATGATAATAATAATTATGAAAAAAAAAACAAAATATCAATTGAAAGTATTTATGAAAGATTAATAATAAATAATGCATTATTATAGAGAAAAATAATTTAATTTATTCTCATAAAAAAATAATATTGAAGAAAATATTTTATTGAATTTATTTCTTATCAATCTATTTTTATTAGAAATCGAAATAAATAATCCCAATTGACAAATAAATCAATATAGATATATTTTAACAAATCGATCATATTCAAATTAATTATCAACAACCAACAAGCTCATTATTTTTAATTATTAACAGATTTATTAACAACTCAATTAATATCATTATCAACAATTATGCAACAACCAACAGACACCGAAATAATATCATTAAATAAAATAGAAACATAATTATATTCTATTATGTTGGATATATAATATCAGTTTCGATATAGACTACACAATAAATATAACTCTCGACATATACAATTAAGAGTATCTACATCGCTTTATGATCATTTATCATTCTTCGAAACGGATAGAATCGATTAACCCGATCGAATAAACGTTCGAGACTGACTGTAAACAGACAGAATTGATAAAACTGCCGTTTTTCTCTTAGATGAAGAAGAAAACTAGCCGAAGTTATACCCGTCATTTGAGCTTATAAAAGAGAGAATTTCTTAAATTTAGTAACGTCTATAAGAGTGAGATGTTTTCGAGTCGAATAATGTCTCGAATTGCACATGACACTTGAGAGTATCATAGATTACGGTCAGATCGAAATGGAATTTTTGGTGAAAAAAAGAGAGGACTAACCAAACTTGATTCTTTTTAGTCTATTACTATTTTTATAGGCTTTTTTTTCAAACCAAAATTTCCTAAGTTTTATTATAAGAAAAAAAAACAGATTTTCGGAGTTAACTGATTGATCTCTATTCTAGTATGATGAGAAACGATTTTACTCACTTTATTAAATAGTCGATACCTTAGATGATAAAGGAAAATTCCAATTTAAATTCATTTTGTTTAGGTTGTCTCTATATTATTGATTTATTTTATTGAATGGTGCTTTACAAATTTTTGATAGATTTTCTATTCGTCATCTTAAAATAATTTCTATTTTAAAACGTCTATTAGAATTCTATTGATATGATTGATGGTGGCCACTATTTTTAAAATCAATCTTTTCAAGGTTATTTTATTTTAAATAATATATTAACAACTGATCAACAACGATTATTATTTAGAAATATTTTTCATTTATCGTCAACAAACATTTAAAAGAATAAATTATTCAAATCAACACAACTCTTTATTATAATCGTTTATTATCTATTCAATATAGAAATCAGAATTATCAATAAATTCAATCGTTTATTATTTCTAAGAATAAAATTTATTTTTATATTCATATAACACGAAAACGAAATTTTCTCACAATTAATTAATAAACCTTGATGATTGTTGACATACGATCATCGATAATAGAAGAGTTCACCTAGAACAAATTCAGGATATAATTATACGAGAAAATTCTATTAAGAAACGTTTATTTAAAAAATGAAAATAATCATCATCATCATCAATAACACAAATATAAATATAAATATCAAGAATAATTCTATGATAAATAAATTCAATTTATTATTTATTAGTTTGACAACTGTTCAATATATCCTTATTAATATACTTATTGAAAATAAATATTTATCTTATATTAACTCGTTCATCTAATAACATTTTTATTATTAAATCAATAGAGAAATAAACGATTATTTTATTTAATTATTATTAAATACTGAACAAATTTTGTTTAAATATAGATTTTATTATTTTTATTTATAATTATATATTTATTTACCAAATGAAATAAATATAAATTGTTGATCATGATAAAACAATTTAATGATCAACATTAAAAAAACAGATTTTCCACCATTTAATAAATCAAAAAAAAATCTTATAATAATAGAGAAAAAATTTTAGTATAATTTGAAAATAAAAAAAGATCTGAATAATAGATATTATATATTCGAAGAGAACGATTTTTAAAATAGTTTTAACTGAATGATCATCATAGAAAACAAGAATAAATAATGTGTTAACCATATTCAATTGATAATCATCTTTATTATAATATAGAATTTATTATAAATAAATCAATAAGATTTAAATAGAAACGATTTATTTCAATTAAATCAATATAGAATTTATTTGAATTTATATAGAAATATCAATCATTTAAATCAATATGAAATAAAAGAAAATAATTCATCTAGAAGAATTCATTTATTAAATTACATTTATAGGAATTATTTTATTAAACAACAATCATTTTATATAGATATTATTTATATAATAACAATTCAACATTTATTATATTCATATTTAAAATACATTTATCATTAACAAATATATATACACCCCTGGGCAAAAGTCTTCCCCCCCCCCCCACACCTCTTTTTTCAGCAAGGTTTTCTCTACTATTATAAGGACAAAACATGGTGTTGT